GGCTGAAACCGTGCCCGCTCAGAGAGGAGGGTGAGGGTGCCATGGAAGAAGGGAACACAGGTCACAGGGGGCTTGAGGTCTTGGGGACAGCAGTTGGAACCACAAAGTATCTTAGGCCGGCTACTGGTGGGATCCCTGTGTGTGCGTACAATGCACCAGTGAACTTGAAACTGGACTCTCTCATGACCCAGGAGACACAGATCCAGAAAGTCCCAAGGTCTGCACCAATGACTGGGTAAGGAGCTTGACACCCAGCCACAGGTATTACATGGACTTAATTTCCATACTGTTATTTGAGGAATCTATGAACATGCTGTGCTTATGAATCTAGGGAGTGAAGGTGTGTTTCTGCTTCACCAGTAAACATCCAATCCTGATCATTTGGAAAGGCAGAACAGGACTGGGCTGTGTGCATGATTCTGTAAGTGGTGGTTACGTCTACATGGGGGCTGGTAAAGGCATTGCTCTGTCTATGTCAATCTGTTTTGCCGTTCACATTAATTGTGTAAGTCTGTGTGCGTGTTTGTCTATCTGGCTCTTTGGAATGCAGCGTAAGTCTCTTGAACACACACATGGGAACAGCGGCAGCCACATCCGTCAGGCTGGGATAGGACAAGCCTCCTGGCTGTGAGACTCCACCAGATTCAGCTCTAGTGGACCTGAGAGGAGAAATCCCATGTTCAGAAGGCTACTGGATCTGGCTGCTCTGTAACAGAATGGGGAAGGAAACCCAAAGAAACTCTGCAGCAGAGGGTGTCCACAGGGGTGGACCGAGAGGCAGCACGGGCTAAGCTGTGAAAGCAACGGGGAAGGCTGGCAGGTGGACTTGCACTGTAGAGTAACTGGACTGCCTTATAACAAAAGTGCAGGAAGGACGCATGCTCAAAGCTTTATAAAAAAAATTCTTTAGTGTTTGTTTTCTCCAGTAGGTACCATTAAAGCATCTGGGCAGGATCCTTCCCTGCGGGTCCAAGAGTGGCTTAGCTCTCCTGGCAAGCTTTGCCTTGCATGCAGTAACCAGCAACCATGTGGATACTCTCGCCCTTTCCTTGACCATCATGTGCAGTGGCTAGGCCCAAGTCAAGGAAGGTCAGGCCCAGACAGTCTCCCACAAGAAGGGGAGAGGCCCAGCTGCCCGTCACAGAGCTCTCAGGGCATCAGAAAAACCACTTTCCTCTGTGAAGGCCAGCTCTAACCAGCCCCAGAAATCTAGAGCAAAGGGAAAAAACAGACTCAGGGTCTGGGGCTCAGGCAGATGGGGGCTTCTCTTCAGGGCAGCTCTCCTCTTGATCCGACAAATCCTCACTCTTCTTCTGCAGGTCAAAGCTCTGGAAAGGAGCAGGACAAGGAACTGCTGAGAAGCATGAAAGCAACAGCTACACTCTGCTGCGGTTCTTTCAAATTTCATTCACCTTTGCCATAGGCTCTGCTTTCCCTGAGGGAAAAAAGAGCAGAGCTGCTAATCGCTGAGGAGGAATGCAGTAAGTAGAGCCTCTCTTACCTCCAGTTCTCGCATGACCTCGTCCATGAAATCTCCCGAATTCTGTTTGTAAGCAACTGCCAGTTTGATAGCATCATTGAAGAGCTGATGAGAAGGAGAATGCTTGTCACTCAGAGGAACGGGCGCTGCATTTCTGTAACGTATGGAAACTGCTCCCATACCCCAAGAAAAAAAAACAAACTCTGCAACTACCTATAGCTACCAGGACCTCACAAGTAGCCAAAGAGATGTACCAGCCCATTTTCTGCTCTCTGTGCCTACAGCAGTCTCCATGTCCTTGGACGGTAGAGGGGTCTCATGGATGCTGAGCCAAATAGCTATGTTTTACCTTCACTACATTGGTGCCATCTGCAGCAGACACAAAGTAAAAGGGCAAACTGAACTTCCGGGCAAAGTTGAAGCTTTTCTGGGTCACCTTCATATCCGCTGGGGGCAAAAAAGGGAGAAGTGGTCAGTAAGACATCACTGTAGGCAGAATGCCAACATATGCAGGAGTGGTGGAACAGATGGAGACCAGAGCCCGATTTAGCTGTCAAGGCCTCCTCACTGTAGTACAAGGCTAGGAGAGTCCTCCCCAAAAGCCATAGGGTTTTAAAAGCAATAGCATCAGCAAACCATTGACAAGAAGACAAAAAGAAAAGAGTTCTTGTTGGTTTATCCATGGTGCTTGACTAAATTATAGGTGGATTCTGATGTGCTCTAAACAAATAATGCTTTGCAGCTTAGAACATACCAGTTCACTTGCTGTGCAGCAACTATGAATGTTTTCCAGGCACATCCCTGTGGTTTTTGCTGTGTGTCCACATGACCTGGACACCATTGCCAGTACTCGTCATGCCTCTTCCTCCAGTTTGGCCTTTTTAACCAGAACTCCCCACTGCCCTTCTGCCATGTTACCTATATTCCTGTGAGTCAAGGGCACGCTCACAGTGGTCAAACGACTCAACTCATATATTTTTACTTAACAAGCAGTTAAGTCCAGCTACTCCAACCTCAGTAGGCCAGAGGCTTTATTTCAGTTTTGGAACAAATCTACTGCATATTTACAGGACGTACTGACACAGCAGTAACAGCTCAGAGTTTTGATAGATAGACAGCCTGTATGCCAGCACAGGAGGAGGAGGGCTCCAGATGATCCGCCTTTTCTCATAGAAGCAACAGCTGAAGTAGTTCAGACTCCAAATGCTTGCCCATGAGCACGGCCCAGGCAGCCGCGCCCCACCTCTCTGCAGGAAGCTGGATCAACTGTTCTGCAGACTGGGCCTGCAGCTGTGGGCCGATCATTTCCTAGTCCAAGTGGAATACAGCAAACGAAAGCAAGGCAGAGGACGCTCTTGGAGCAGCGTCCACTCACACACAGAACACTAAGAGCAGGATTCATCTGCACAGAGGTTCTGTCTACAATACGGCTGTGAACACCAAGTCCCTTTGCCTCGGACTTCCCGTACAGTCCGTGCAGTCAGGGGGTTCAAGGCTGGCTTGACACATCCCACAAGAAAGGCTTTTATTAGGTAAGATCAGTCATGCCCTAAACCACACCACTGAACCAAATGAACTTCCGTAGACTACAGTGGGAGCCCAGACACCTTATTCAGGTGCAGACACCTACTCATAGCTGCGATGATTTCTCCCACGAACATCAGCAAGGAAGCCCATGCCTGACACTGTACTTGACAGAGAACAGCAGGAGACTGTGGTCCTAAGGGTATCTGTTCTCTCGTTGATGCTGAGCAGAAAGCTGATGCGTTACGTGCTCTCACAGGACGCAGGAGACAGATCACAACCCAAATGACAGCAATAACAAATGCCCAGCTGGCGTTCCTAAGAGGAGGGCATCATCCAATCACCTGCAGAGGAAGGTGAGCACTTGTGCCAGCAGGTATATTCAGACACCTTAGCACAGAGGAGTCCCACAGAAACCTGCAGGCTGAATTAGCAGGACCAAGGCAGTTACTGACTGTATCAGGGGAAGCCACATAACAGGTTATGCTCTTTTTCCAGCAAGACATCCTGCAATTTTTGACTAGGTACTGCTCCAATCAGCTTTTGGGTTCTTGCTGGATGAAATGGGCAGCATGGTAAGGACAGAATTGGAAGGACATCACTTGAATAAACTTCAAATGGAGCAGATTTGTATTTTTAGTTGCTAGAAAATCAAGGACAAGAGCCTATAAGACAGCACGCAAGGTCAGTAGAGGACACAGCTATTCATTTGGTAAAATACAGCCCTGAGGGACTTACGCTCAAGAACTCATCTGGACCTAACAGAGGAATGACATTCTTTCTCAGCCAGGTCAGAAGAGAATCACATCCCAATCCTGAGAGGTTGAAAGAAGAAGATATACTCACCATCAATTTTGTTGGCCACCACAATGCAAGGAATCTCTGGGCGGAATTCTCTCAGCTCCTTGTACCAGCTGTTTAAGTTCTTGTAGGTGACTTTCCGCTGCACATCAAACACCTTCCGAAAAAGAACCAGCTATCATGAGGCCACCAGCAGGACAGCTCCTGATCAACCCACTGCACCAAAACCAAGTCCAGAACCCAGAATTTTCCCAGGAGGACATCAACAAAGGAAACTGGCCTTTGTTAGAAAGGATGAAAGAGAAAAGGGAGACTATCCAGCACGCCTTGAAACATGCAGCCAGCCCGTTTCTTTGCATGACACAGGAAACAGTCCCTCATTTTCCTTTACATTCTTATTTTGTACTATGACAAGCACTCTATCACCCATGACTGTGAACAAGCACTGGGAAAGATCTGTTCTGCTCAGGAGGGTCAGATGTGAGGCTTCTGTGTTTTAACAATTAAAATATCAATGAAGTTGACAGATGCTCACAAGTGATGAGAGTTAGAGCAACAGTACAAACCAAGACACCTAAGAAGTCAGGAAACAAGAGTGATTTGAGCTAATAAACGGGAAGCGCAAAGTATAGGAAAATGGAAAGGGCAGAAGACCAGAGAAGAACGTCTTATGTAGTACCCCTGCCGAACACGTCAGATCAGTTTTGTACTACGTAATCCAATAGTCACATCACAGAACAAGAAAGGAACGCCTGCCCCCTCGCATCACCTGACAGGACTGCTTCTAAATAAGTACATTCAGTTGTATGTACCACCTTACACAGTGACAAAAGGAAGGAAATTTAGAAGACAGCAAAGCCAGGGAATACAGTAAGAGTGCTATCAGGAAAGACAGAAGAGAGCTAAACATACCCAACTACACTGGTTTTATCTGCTGAGAGAAGAAAGAACAATACAGGAAAGTTTTTTAAACCACTGGAAGAGACGAGAAATATAAGGCAGCATAATCACAAAAAGTAACATACAAGCTAAGTGTCAGCTGGGACTGTTATTAGTCAAAATCCCATCAGATCACAGCTGAGGCACTGCCCTTACCATGATACAAGCGTGAGCCTTATGGTAATAGGATGCATGCATGCTCTGGAACCTCTCCTGTCCAGCCGTGTCCCAGAAGTCTGTAAGACACAAAAACCAAGCTCAGAATGACACAGCTTTCCAAGTTCTGTTTTCCTCACAACTTAAATCCAGGGCACAAAGCCCAGGCCATCTACTCAGGGTCACAAGTTAGGTTTCACCTCGCTAATCTGAAACACTCCAGGGCTAAGAGATTATGCAAAATTAGGCCCTTTTCTTAGCTAGGCTTAGCTGTGAGCTGTGCTGACACTGAACATTGCTATAAACATATTAGCAAAAGAGAAGTCATCAGTAGACATGACTTATAAAGGACAATAAGACAAAGCTAGTCAAAAGTGCAGAGTGATAACAGCGTATGGTACTTCGTCACTAGAGATGACAACACGAAACAAAATCTAAACATCTGAAACCAGCTTGATTTCTGACACAGTGGTAAATAGCCAGGTGCCTGCCATAGGAAACGTGCCATCCCCTTTCGCAGACAGTCTAACTCTGCTCTTCCCGGGAGCACGTTCTAAAATGATGAAGGGTAAGTGAGTGAGCCTGAGACAGACATCTCCCCATTCGTTAAGGACCTTGTAGACTAGGTATGATGAAGCATACCTGAACAGTCATCAACATTTTAATGCCTTTTTCTGTTTGTGCATCTCAGGTAGAGATCTCCACTCCACCCCGACTGGATTTATAGGCTAATATTTGTGTCTTATTTGCTGTATAAATTTACACAGCTTCAATTAAGACCCAACAGATGTTGTTACACTTCTGTCAGCTAGACTGAAGCGTGCCACCCCACCTAAAGCAAATAAGCCACTTTCCTTAGTGTTGACTTTGCATTGAAACTACTTTCTGACTGGATACTGTATCAGCCTTGCAGGATGGTGGCTTCCTAAACTGCCCAGAATAGAGACAAGTCCTCATCACACCACATATGCATTCATTTTGGGTAGTTTCGCTGAGCTGCTAAAATTGCCTGATCCTTTTAATGTGCCATTTCAGAATCCTCACTTACAAGAGAAAAAGAGGTGCCGGTGACCACCACCTCCTGAATGGCCCTGAATTAACTTCCCAGCCAATGCAGCAGCTGTCGTGAGAGAACTTGCCATGGCTTACTGAAAAACACTGCTGCTTTTACCGCTATATCCTTCAGATCTTGCCTGTCATACCCCATGTCTCCAGATATACTCCAGAACATAGGAATTTATCAACCTTAAAATCCTTGGGAAAAATAAGATTCACAGAGCAAAGAAATACACCACATTTTAATGCAATCCTAACTCTACCACACGGAATTTGGTGATGGCCACCAAGAACAGCTCAGCAGACTAAAAATCAAACTAGCAAGGGGAGTGGTAATTCTGCACAATGTAAAGTCTTCAGATCAAACTACCTGCCTTTACAAAACCACGCTTCCTGACCGACTTCTCTGCAAGGTAGCTCGGATGATCAGCGTTATGCTCGTAAAAGGTGAAGACAGAAGACACTGTGACCTCCTGTATAACGTAGGCCAGATGAATTACTTAAACTAGAGCAAGTTACTTAATACAGTATAAATCTATGTTAAAAATAAGTCCCTGACATATGAATCCATACTTTTGCAAGTTGCCTTAATAGTAATTTCACTTACTGGTTAAAAAAAAAACAAAACCACCTTATCTTTTATTTGAGTTTACCCAACATCAGCTAAAGTCTGTTAAATATTTCTTGCTATGCTGAAGCCTCCTTTTGTACCAAGTTCCCGTTCTCTGATGTTTTACCTTCTCCCTGAGAAGTTAACCAGACTGAGTCTCTCATCATTAGGCCCCTTTTAACCATATTTCAATTGTTCTCATGGCTCTGCTCTGAAACCTTGTACTGGGCGTAAGTGGCAAGGTTTTTGCAAGGGGCAGGGGGCTGCAGGGGTGGCGTCTGTGAGAAGACACAAGAAGCTGACCCCGTGTCAGGCAGAGCCACTTTCAGTCAGCTCCAAGAGAGACCCACCTCTGGCCAAATCACACCCAGTCAGCGACGTTGGTGGTAACATCTTTAAGAAGGTGTAAAAACCGCTGCAGTTGGATGTGCCCTGAAGGAAGCTGCAGCCCACGGAGAGCCCACACTGGAGCAGGCTGCTGGCAAGAACTGTGGCCCGTGGAGAGCAGCCCGTGCAGGAGCAGGTTTTCTGGCAGGACCTGTGTGTGGCCCACGGGAGACCCATGCTGGAGCAGTCCCTTCCTGAAGGACTGTACCCCACGGGAAGGACCCATGCTGCAGCAGTTCTTGAAGAACTGCACCCCATGGGCAGGACCCAAGTTGGAGAAGTTTGTGAAGGACTGTATCCCATGGGGGGGACCCCAGGCTGGAGCAGGGGAAGAGTGTGAGGAGGAAGGAGCAGCAGAGGCAAAGTTTTATGAACTGAGCGCAATCCCTATTCCCTATTCCCCTGCACCGCTCGTGGGGAGGAGGAGGTAGAAGATTTAGGAGTGAAGTTGAGCCTGGGAATAAAGGATGGATGATGGAGGGAAGGTGTTTTTAGTTTTGCTTTACTTCTCACTATTGTACTCTGTTACAATTAATTGTCAATAAATTAAATTATTTTATCATAGAATCACAGAATGCTTTGGGATGGAAGGGACCTTTCAAGGTCATCTAGTCCATCCCCCCTGCCATGGGCAGCGACAGCTTTCACTAGACCAGGTTGCTCAAAGCCCCATCCAACCTGACCTTGAACACTTCCATGTATGGGTTATCCACAACTTCTTTGGGCAACTTGTTCCAGTGGTTCCCGAGTGTCACCACCCTCAGTGTAAAACGTTTCTTCCTTATGCCCAGTCTAAACCTACCCTCTTTCAGTTTAAAACCATTGCCCCTTGTCCTATTGCTACAGGCCTTGGTAAAAACTCTTTCTCCATCTTTCTTATAAGCCCCCTTTATATACTGAAAGGCCGCAATAAGGCCTTCCCAGAGCCTTTCCTGCTCCAGGCTGAACAAACCCAACTCTCTCAGCCTCTCTCCATAGCAGAGGTGTTCCAGCCCTCTGATAATTTTTGTGAACCTGCTACAACAGGTCCATGTCTTTCTCGTACTGGGGATCCCAGAGCTGGACGCAGTGCTCCAGGTGGGGTCCTGAGCAGAGCAGAGGGGGAAAATCACCTCCCTCGACCTGCTGGCCACGCTTCTTGATACGCAGCCCAGGATCAGCTGGCTTTCTGGGCTACAAGCACACATTGCCGGCTCATGTCTAGTTTTTCATTCACCAATACAGGGGAAAGGTACAGTGTTCAACCATGTAGAAAGCTGGTGCAAACAGGAAGGGTAAAAAACTTGTTCAGTGTCCAGGAAACACAGGAAATAACTGGTTTACCTTGTATAAAGAAGATTTGCATTAAGTATCAAGAAAGAAAGACTTTCTAGCAGTAAGAACCCTGATATGTTGGAATAGATGGCCTAAGCAGTCTTTGTCATTGGAAGTCTTTAAGTACATAACATATATATATATATATTTATCAGTGAAAAGTATCATGAAGTAAAGAGTTTCTCCTGTGCAGAGATGTGCAAGATATCCTCTCGCGGTCCCTTCCAGAGCTGCAATACACTGAAAACACAGAAATTGTAGCGATACAGGCAGCAGTACAGAATATCAATTCAAGCCACAGAATAAGATAATGTTTTTCTTGAACTGCCATCTAGAACACACAATGAACAACACTGTGCTGTCAGAGGCTAATTCACATAGGTTAAAGCAATGCTGCATTGGCATAAAAAAAGAGAAAGTTAGCACTTGTGGTAAAACTGAAGTTATGGGATATTTGAGAGTTGACTGACAAACAGATGACTGCTAATGCTAGGACACCTGTAGTCTATCAAAACAACTAACAAAGGTTGAGATAAAACAAGTAGTATTTTATGATAAGATCATACAGGCTGGACATATCCAGAGAAAGAATTTAAATATTCTATAAACTTGAAATATAGCAATTGGTACATACACCCAAAGTAATTAGCCAGTCAAAAATACCCGATAAAAGGATGACCAATAATAGAAGATTGTGTTACAATGTATTAAAAATCCAGCAACTAAAATAGTAGACCTACTGAAGTAATCTATGGCATGGATTTTTAGAATTGGTGCTGATAGGCAGCTAAATCCCACTGTTGACTATTTTGTAATTAGCATATGGCATATTTCTTCTCATTTATTTACTATATTAACAGAGTAAAGGAGTCTGAAGACAGTTTCATACTGCAGCTAAGCTGATATAAGACCTACCTCGCAAGAAAGAGCAAGCTCACTGTCTACTCTTCCTTCCTTTGCCTGTGCATTCCCACTGCCCCTTTCCCCAGCACTGCTGTGTATAAGCCTCCACGGTGAAATGTTTTAGGAAGCCAAATGAGTAGAAACCCATTCACTTATTTTGTGAGTGGTTAATATGCATGGTTAGCTTCCTGAGCTGGCTTGACAATGGACAGGACTAGACCTATAAGTGAACGCTGGTGGTACACAGGGGAAAGGGACTGTAACTTTCACAGGCAGCTAGCTTAGCTTCATGACAAAATTTAAATCTTAGTTAGCTTAGTTCCATCGCGACACTGCATCCTGAGCAACAAGCACTTTGACTAACAGAGACTAACACAGCTAAATCAGGATTCTTGCAGCAATTACTTTGACAGGTATTCAGGTCCTTGAAAAAAACAAAGATAATCTTTGACTTAGATATCCCCTTGCCTGGAAGTCAAATGTAAAGGATTACTGGCATAGCTGAAGAACCTAATAACTGAACAGCGATCTGGCCTGGTAGATGAGGGGAAAGTAGTGGCTGTTGTCTACCTAAACTTCAGTAAGGCTTTGGCACTCTCTCCCATAAGAGCCTCATAGAGAAGCTGTCGATGTATGGGCTGGATGAACAGACAATGAGGTGGATTGAAAACTGGCTGAATGGCCAGTCAAGAGGGTGGTGATCAGCAGCATGAAGTCTAGTTGGAGGCCAGTAACTTAGCAGTGTACCCCAGGGGTCAATACCGGGTGCGATCCTGTTCAACACCTTCATTAATGATCTGGATGATGGGGCACATCGCACCCTCGGCAAGCTTGCAGATGACACAAAACTGGGAAGAGTTGCTGATACACCAGAGGGTTCTGCTGCCATCCAGAGGGACCTGGACAGGCTGGAGCAATGGGCTGACAGGAACCTCATGAAGTTCAGCAAGGAGAAGTGCAAAGTCCTCCACCTGGCGAGGAACAACCCCATAGCACCAGTTTATGCTGGGGACCACCCAGCTGGAAAGCAGCTTTGCAGAAAAAGCCCTGCGGGTCCTGGCTGACACCAAGCTGACGGGGAGCCAGCAATGTGCCCCTGCCACAAAGAAGGCTCATGGTGTCCTGGGCTGCATTAGGCAAAGTATTCATTTGCCTCTACTCAGCGCTGGTGAGGCCACACCTCGAGTACTGTGTCCAGTTCTGGGCTCCTGAGTACAGGAGAGACATGGACATGCTGGAGAGAGTCCAACAAAGAGCCACTGAAATGATTAAGGGACACGAGTGTCTCTCCTGTGAGGAAAAGCTGAGAGGGCTGGGACTCTTTACCCTAGCGAAGAGAAGGCTCAGGAGCGATCTCATCCATGAGCATAAATACCTGAAGGAAGAGCATAAAGGAGATGGAGCCAAGCCCTTTCCAGTGGTGCCCAGTGACAGGACCAGAGGCAACGGGCACAAACTGAAACATAGGAGGTTCCCTCTGAACATCAGGAAACACTTTTTCCACTGCGGGGGTGACTGAGCACCGACACAGGCTGCCCAGAGAGGTTGTGGAGGCTCCCTCCTTGGAGACATTCAAAAGCCATCCATTGTCCTGGCCTGCCTGAACAGATGGTTGGACAGGATGACCTCCAGATGTCCCTTCCAATTTCAACCATTCTGTGATTCTGTGATCCCTTCCTTCCCCCATTTCCCTGCCGACAAACCGCTGTTTGGCATCCCCTTGCCCACCGCAAGGAACTCCCCTGCCATGTTTTTGCATCCATATGCTGCATATGCCAACGGCACCGCCGCTGTTTCCCTCTCTGCACACAGCCAGAATCGCCCCGGGGCCCACGGAACACGTAGCAGGGCGCTCCCCACTTACCCACGAGGACCGTCCGCCCGTCCACCCGAGCACGGTGCTTGTGGAGCGTCAGGGCGAAGGTGGAGAGCTGCTGGGGGCGGCTGCGCCCGCGTTAAGGAGCCGACGG